GTTCTGTAAAAAAAACTAGTAAGATTTTAAAACTAAACCCCTTTATTGATTCTAACAATGTAAGGGTAGGCGGTAGATTAAGAAATTCTCAGTCATCACATTCGTTGAAACATCTCACATTGCTACCTCAAAAACATCAATTTACCGACATATTGATCAATCATATACATAAACAACAGTTTCAGCCGATAACGAAGCCGATACGGTTTCAGCCGATAACCTCGGAGCGGTGCGTCACGAATATTGGCCTATTTCGGCAAGAAATACTATCAGAAAAATTATTAAAAACTACGTCCCGTGTTTCAGAGTAAATTCACATTTATCTCAGCCAATGATGGGTGATCTATCAGCAGTTAGGGTTGCACCAAGCAGTTTCAATATCAGGTATTAACTATTGCGGTCCTTTTCTGGCTAAAGACTTACGCGGTTATTTTGATTTGCTTGTCAACCAAAGCAGCTCATATTGAACTGGTCTCTGATCTATCTAGTAATGTATTCTTGACTGCACTTAAGCGTTTTATGGCACGTAGAGGTAACGTTGCTCACATATATCGTGACAATGGTACCAACTTTGTTGGAGCCAACCGAGAGCTAAAAAAAATTTATAATCATTTTGCAAATAAAGGTAAAGTATGTTATTTGGTAGAAAACTTAGCCCCATAGCGCATTTCGTGGCATTTTATTCCTAATTGGTCCCCACATTTCGGCGTAGTAAAATCGGTGAAACATCATATAAGGAATAACCGCAAACGCGTCGTTAACTTATGAAGAGTTAACTAGTTTGCTAGCCGAAATTGAAGCCATTTTGAAATTCCGACCAATAACCCCGATGCTCTATAATCCTAACGACCTTTCCTATCTATCTCCTGGTCATTTTCTCATTGGAGACATCTTCGCTTCGATCCCGGAGGTAAACTTGGAAGAGGAGAAAACATCGAAGTTCCAGCGTTGGCAACGTATTTGTTAGCTGAAGAAGCATTTTTGGTCACGCTGGTCCAAAGAATATTTGGGATGTCTACAAAATAGAAGCAAGTGGCGCTTGAATAAGGGACCACGACTTCCGAGGGGTCAACTGGTAGTGACACCAAATGAAGCATACATTAGTTGTTAAGAAAGCGGGCATTTGTGAAGGAACCAGGAATGCACTTTTGTACAACAAACAGTTGTTTTTAAATACATATCATCTACATTAATATAAGTGAAATTGCAGGTCATATTGCAATTTGAAGTATATTTACAATTTTAACATTGTCCCTGCTTTTTAATTAAGGTATGTTACGTTGGCAAAATACCCTTTAAATGCCCTTTCCGAATAAAAAAATTGCAGCTATATTTTGTCGCTTTAATAAGAGCACTCGCTACCGAAGTCTATGTAACATTTTATACTTGAAAATTTTTCGTCATCGCTAACATCTCGGTACCTTTCCTGAGATCGACGCATCCTTCTCTTTGATCCCTCCTCCCACTGCTGATTTTTCTCGTTCCCACGGGTACTTCGCCGAGTCGGAAAGTGATCTTTTCGCTTTGGCATCATAAACACTTTTTTATTCAGACTGATTTGCGGATTTGGGATCTTATATCCCACTCCTGATATTAGAGGAAAACTCAAATGAAATAATAAAAACTATCAGTACCTACAACCGATTTATTTGCAAGAAAAAATTGCGCAAAAATTAGCAATATTGGTAATTATCGATGTTGGGTTTTCTGGTCGAGTTTCTAATGTCATACACGCAGCTTGCCTCCCTTCGTTCCGACTTATGCATCTGCAAGCCCCCTTGTCACTTGGTCTAAAAAAAAAATTGTCAAATTTTTTTCGCTCCCGTTTATATTTCCAAGTGCTTAAGAAACCGTAAACTATCGATAACTACAAGGAATTAGAATTAATACATAATAATACTCACTCTTAAATAAATATTAATTGTTGTTAAATAAACNTTCCGGCATAGTCCGGAGGGACTGCCCGCCCACCAGCATTACTGGCTGGTGGGAATGAAACACCCAAAAGTTTTTTTTTATACAAACTATCACTCTTCTATCTCTGTAACTCGTCCCCACATTTTGAAGTATATTTAACATCTTATCTTATTTAACATTGTCAAAAGCTTTTTCTAAATCTACAGATCCTATGTATGCACTCTTTCCTTTTTCTATCGTTTTCTCTATTGTTACCCGTAAATCTAGAACGGTCTCCCGTGTTCTTCTATTTCTTCTAAACCCAAATTCTTCCGCCTTTTTTCCATCCTCCTCTGTACTAGCTGAGATTTTTAACGCAGGGGAAGTTAAGCTAATTGTTCTAAATGTCTCGCACCTATCCGCCCCGCTTCTTTCAGGTAATGTTACTACTACGTTCCGTTTATAATCCTACAAAGCGTCTAAAATATTCCTCAGTTATTAAAAAATATAATTCTTATGCGGTATTTATTTATTCAGAATATATTCATACAAAAACAAAAAACAACTCTCTTAAAACAAGATAAAACACAAACAATAAAAATATAAAATTTGAATTACGAATAGTATTCACATCTGTAATCCTTCTGAGCAACTTTAAGAGATACCATAAAACTTTATGCACTTCATGTGGTACCACTTTGTACAATAGTCGCATTCTATATTTTTCTCCTCGTTTCTTCGTTGGTTGTGCATGCTTCTTATGCGTGTTCTGCCTTTTCATGAATCTGCATTCTGCTTTTTGGCGACTTTCTTTCCGCAGTTATGACTTTCAAAATTGAATTGTCTATACTATAAGATGCACGTATGTCTTCATTTTCTATATAGTTTTAATCTTCGTAATAAATCTGTATTATTTGTGATCTTGTAATCTTTGAAACTAAATCTTCATTAAACTTTACATTCTTTCCAACGATAACACATTTGTTTTATGTATCTGTAATCGTTAAGGCAATATCGTATCATTTTAAATTTTACACTCTTCGGGTCTAATTTTGTGGGTTTTTCATTTAGTATGTGTAAGAAAGCATTACAACCAAATATTTTTAATTTCCTTACATCAGGGTTTCTATTGAACCATACAACGAAACGATTTATCATTAACAGTTTCTAGTTCGCTTTATTGCATATACCACTTAATTGCTTTTAGCAATGGTATAACAAAGCAACAAAGCTAAAGGTTCGATTCCCCGCGAGGGTGTGACAACAGAAACATATTTTCCCTCATTAACCTGGGGTAGTTTACAGTGGGAAAAAAATTAAAATTAATTTTCAAATTAATATTTGATATCAACCCCTATTAAATGTCAAAGTGGTTCATATATAATTAATATTTACTAATTTGCGATGCTACTATATTAACTATGAATATTCGCTAAGAATTATATTGAAAATCTATTGATTTATTTTTAAAGAGTTTTATTAATACGTTGCAATGACACGGTGAGTTGTTTCCTGCCTGAATCCGCCCCTGTATTTGTCGAAAGGTCGATTAACACTCGCCACCGGACGATTATCTTATCGTTTCATCTTGATATGTCGACTCCCGTTTAGTTGCGTCCGGTGTCTAATTTATAAAAGTCGTTTGTTTTAATTTGTTGGGAACGTTTCGATGATTAAATTTATCTTGCGAGTAATTTTAATGAGAGCTAAGAACTAGTAATAAAGGCGATTACTTAAAATGCGCCATTAATGTGACTTGAATACCGAACACGGCAGATTTACGGCCTACTTATAGGTGCGCTAGTTGTGTTCCTATNTCTTCCTTTAAATACTCTTTTGTTTACTTTCGGGAACCTTCTGGAAAACGTCCGGATAGTTTATTGTTTCTTTGAACTGTTTAACTGCTTTCCCAGAACGCAGGTACGACACACACATATATAAATACGGCGCACATGAAGAAAGGCGCCTGCGGCTAGTCGGCAAATCGATAAGCCGTGTACACTCGTGCTCGCTACAATTTAAAGTTGATTCGAATAGTTTAATTCTTAGATTCACCGGAAGTAATTATTTTTCGTTAAGTTTTGCCTATTTAGTCTTGGTCTTGTTCGCTCGATCTTGATTTTAGTCTTGGTCTTGTTCGATCGGTCTTAATTTTAGTATTGGTCTTGATCTTGGTCTTGCTAATATAAAGATAGTCTTAGTCTTGGTCACAGTCTTGCATTTTCGGAAGATCAAGACCAATTTTGCTCATCGCTAAGTGATTCGTTCGTCTAAACGTAGTAGGTCAGGATTTATCCGTTATTCAAACGACAGATTTTTCTTAATAGGCTATCAGATTGTTCATATGATTGCTTATATTAGGTTATTAAAATTAAAGTAAAGTCTAAATATACTTATACGATCCTTTTCTCTGAAATTTTAACTGCAGGAAACGACGCTGACCGAGTGATAAAGTAATAAAAAAAAACAAATTATGTCAATCTACTTTTTGAGTAACGCAGGTAAACCTTAGTTAATCAGGCGCAGTTATTTAGAAACTTATATATGACGAATCGCGTAGCAGTATTTACGATTGATTCTGTAACGCTCTGGCAAAAACAATACCCTATGGTAACACTGCATCTACGTATTACCTTGATTATATTTTTGAAGTTTTTTTGTTAAAACTTAATTAGTAACTAAAAATTTCTAGCACTAAATGTATATAAATTCATTATACAAAAATTAAACGAAAAATTTAGCTGATCTTGCGGAAAATGAGAAATGTTAGCGCAAGCACATGAAGTTAGTTGGCGAAACAATTGGAATGTTTATGCTATAAACACACAAACGAAGTTATGAGAATAAAATAAATTAGCAAATGGTTTTGGCTCCTAGGTCAATTATATGTAAATAGATTTTTGTTTAGTTGTTTATATATTTAAATAATTCTGCCTTTTTTGAACAGTTAGATATATTTTTATTTGATTTTTATTTTTAAATACCACAAAAATAAACTAATTATATAAGACATGAAATATAAGTTAAGTCTTAACACTACCTAGTTGAACTCTATTTAAAGTATTTATTATATTAGTGTTTAATATAAACTTAAAATATTTTAGACATTTGGAATTCAGTGCTTGTCTGGTACTGGTGCATTAAGAGTAGGTGCCGAATTTTTAGCCAACAATCTTGGGTACAGCACTTTTTATTATTCAAAGCCTACTTGGGGTAAGTGTGAAAATACCAATGTTAATAATGATATTTAATAAACTGTGTAGGTTTGACACCGTTGAAAAAGATAACGCTAAAGAATCTTAAGCAAGTTATCAAACAAGGATAGATCAAGTAACTAATCTAAATTTATTGTTATTATTCAGTTATACTCATAGAAATTATTTTAGTAAATTACTAATTATCTTTATCTTATCAATTTTGCAATTAATTTTAAGAGTCATTACGTAGCCGTTGCATGTCTATGTCGTAAACAATTCCTTTTTTTTCTACATTTTGAAAAACATTGGTGATAAGTAATGTAAGATGTAAAATATACAAAAACGTATTTTTTACAACTAATATATTTAAATATTATGCGTAAATGTAATACAATCGAACTTCGATATGTATGTGTGTAATTTTTACTTGATAACTTAAACGTCTTTAGAACGTATTATTTGACGTGAGTGCTTCAAGTCAAAAAATGACAGTCATTTGTATCAATCGAGAAAAGCCAAAGACGACTGTAAAATGAAGAACAATAAGAGTACATGTAATAACTGTGGCAAGAGGAAAGATAAATATAATTGCCAAAAAAGAAGTTTATTATCGATAATGTACTAGACCATTGAATAGAGATTTAGTATGGAAAAATTGCGTTAAAAGGGGCCTATGATTGAATATGATAGTTTGGCCTCTAAAGATGATGAAACGGAGTGCCCTTTTTTTAAGGGGTGCGTTTTTGAGAAATCTGAAAAAGTCAGTTTTTCCGAATAACTCAAAAACAAAGCAATTTTCGAGATTTTTACAACAGTACTTTTTTTAGAACTTTAGATTTTCCATCGAAACAGTTTTACTTAATTTTCTTTTTATCCTTTTTGGTGTCAAATATAATAAAAAAAACGAAATAGAAAATTTCAAAAAAATCGCCGTTTTTTATTGAATCATCTATAACTTTTTTTTCTGGGCGATTTAGGTATATAATGTTCAGGGGAAAGCTAGCTCTTAAAAAAAGCACACTTTTTCTTCTTTTGTAGAACGAAAATTTACCGAGTTATCGATGCTTATAGTTGCCTATTTTTTGTCATATTTTACCCTATTTTATTACAAACATGCTTTTTTTAATTTTCGATATAGGTATCTACTGATTTTTTTTACTATGAAACAGTCAACATAAACTATTATCAACAATATTAAGATAAATTATTACTACTTTTTAGTTTTGAAACATGTGTACTTTTGAATCTCCCGCTGTGCTTATAAATCGATAATGCGGACACATTTAAAAACAGGCTGTTAAAATATTCAAAAAATCTAAATANTATATTTTTGTCTCGGTGTATTTCTTTTTTGTCTTTGTGTAAATATTAATCTGTGCGCGCGCGTGTAATTAAACTCTATTAAAAAACCAAGTGCGTAAAATTGTATCTTTTTTGTGTCAATTGAGAGGGGACAGTATCTTGTTGAAAAATAATGTATGTTGGACTACTTAAGTTTGCTATACTCAGCAACAAGTGTTGCCAAAATTTTGTTGATATTTAGGTAACATCAATAAATTCCATTCACCCTAAACCCTTAGCCGCCATAGATCCCCAAATCATTATACCTTTGGGAAATTTAACGACGCGTTTTAAACAATTATGATTAAATGCCTCAGATATTTTCCTTAAAATCCGCCTACAATTATCGCCTACGCATACATCAAATTTGGATTCATACCTGAATATTACATTTTCCCAATCTTGTACGCTTCTTTCGCGCACGTTTCGTTTCAGAGCTTTCGTAAGTAGTGGTTTTTGTTTTGCCTATAAATATGATTCATATTTTAGAGAGATTTATCATGTGATTACAAAACTAAACCTTGTAACCTGATAGAATTTTTAACTCGCTTTATGTAGTCAAGTTAGTTCTACAACATTCTCGACTGAACCGTAAGCCAGTATCATTGTTCCATATTAAAATGATTTTCATCAAAGTACTACCTTTTGAATTTTAACCAATGTAATTGAATTTGAGATTTTGCACACCTTCATTTATTTACTTTACAAACAATTTGTCTTACAGTTTGGGTGTGTTTTTGGCTCCGATGTACATTTTTGTTTCCTAATTTACATCATTCATTTTAATTTTTCCCACTATAAACTACCTCAAGTTAATGAAGGAAAATTTGTTGCTGTTGACAGATCTGTGACCTAATAAGTCATTGTTGCTGTTGTCACCTCATTAACTTGAGGTAGTTTATAGTGCGAAAAATTAAAATGAATTTTCACATTAATATTTGATATCAACCCCTATTAAATGTCAAGGTGATTTATATATATATATTGAATATAGTTACATTAGTTCGACAGATCTGTGCCCTAATAAATAAGGTTTGTCGTTGTTGCTGTTGTCACCTCTCGTAGCTTAGTGGTCAGAGCATTGGTGCGTATAGCCAAAGGTCCCGGGTTCGATTCCCGGCAAAACAGCAACAAATTTTTTCCCTCATTAATCTGAGGTAGTTTATAGTGGGTAAATATTGAAATGAATTTTCACATTCATATTCAATAAAAGTGATTTTTCAACTTTTAATAAAATAAAGAATACGAGTAGCATAAATAAAGAAAATCAGGAAGGGTATTTATATACGCCGCCCAAATTCGAAAGTTATCCAGATATAGGAACAAAGAATACTTGCTCCGAGGACATTCTTATAGATCCCTTTTTCAAACAGTAGCAAAGTTTCTTTTTTTATATTTAGTGTTAATATAGTAAAAAAAAAGAATATATTGTAATGTTCGTGGGTTTAACAAAATTAACTTTTAAGACTTCTAACGACAAAACTATTCATTTACACTAATTATTAAGGAACTTAAAACACTATTAAATTATTACTAAACTTAGGTGATGAATTATTCTATTTATTTACA